CAACAACCACAACAACAACAACAACAACCACAACAACAACAACAACAACAACCACAACAACAACAACAGCAATACCAACAACAGCAGCAACAACAACAATATCAACAACAACAACAACAATATCAAGAACCGGATACTAGAATTGATAAATTAGAAATAGATCAAGATCAAGTAAAGACGGATGTAGCAGATGAGAAAAGTGCCGATAATATAGCATCAAGAATAACTGATAGTAGTGAAATGTTGAATAAGTATGAGCAAAGTGAATCGGAAATTTCACAAGATCGAAAAGAAAATTTAAAAACTGATTCTACTTATCAAAGTGAAAGTTATGGGCAGCAATCAGAAATTCCTGTAGCATCAACTGCTCCAATAGCTAAATCATTGGTAAGTTTCATTTGAACATTCAATTTCATTGTAATAGCATTTAATTTTCGAATAAATTACCAATACAATGAGTTATATTTTATTAAATTTTTTCATTCAAATTAAATTAAACATTTCAAATTAAATTAAACATTTCAAATTTCATTCAAATACTACAAATTATTTATTGTATATGCATTTGTTTTCTTTTTTTTTTTTTTGATACCATTCTTTATTATCATTATATCAGTAATTATTCAGGAATCATCCAGAATAGATGCACAAAATAATAATAAAATAGTAACCGAAACAAATGCCGGATATGATCAAAATGAAGAAAATATAATCATCGAATCGATAGGTACCGAAAGTAGTGATTCCACATGTAACGATCCGGTTTTGAAAGCTCTTATTGAAGTATCATTTAAATATCTTATTTTCTTATAACAGTTTACAGGAATTCAATTTTTCAATCTTTTATTCAAAATTTTAAATTTAATTTTAAAAACTTCTTCAAAAAAAAAAAAAATCAGAATGCATTTCAAATTTTTACCAGAAAAAAAATTTTTTTTTTAGTTTTATGTTATAATATTTAATATTCAAATTATATTTAAATTTATTTCAAAATATTTGAATTGTCTCATTTCAAAATGAAACTTAATTACAAAATTAAATCAAATGTTGTGAATATTTTCTTTCATCGAAAGTTCATTTTTCCCCCCCCCCTTCCAAAAACTAATTATTGCTTTAATTAATTAGTCGTTTAAATAATTAATTAAAAGAAATATAGCTATTTCATTGCAAATTAAATTCAATTGCAGTCAACACTAAACGAATATCGTGATAATTTGGATGCAGCACGAAGTATTGAAAGTAAAGCATCACAACGTTTCGGTGGCCGTTTTAATTCGATTGTTTCCGATTCCGAATTTGCATATGTAAATTGGTACGGTAAACGTAATTGCCAATTACAGGTTAACGGAAGGCATTCATTAACATGGGAGGATTGAAAAATATCTCATTAACTTTTCTTTTTTTTTAATTATAATTGAAAAAAAAATTTGTGTCAACAAATTGTCCAATAAATTTCTTAAAAATTGTTTTTTTTTTCAAGTATACATTTTATTGGATGAAACAAATTTGTTGACATTAATGTTGACATAAATGTGACATTAATGTCCTATCATAAAATTAAAATTTTAAATATGCATAAAAATTGAAAAAAAGAAAACAAGAAAACAAAAACCAAACGTTCGTCAATTAATGAATGCTAATCGTTTACTAATTAAAAAGAAATTAGCCTAATAATATAGAGGATATTCATAAAATTAATCAATTATCAAAAAAAAATAAAGAATTTCTATTTTAAAATCCATCCAACAATATTAGGCTATTAATGTTTAAAACAAATAGATGCGCATTATATGTTTTAAAAATTTTTACAAAACAAATAATTCATTTAAATCAATTATTTTGTACTATTCCTGTAAAGTCATTAATTTCAATTAAAAAAAAAAAAAACGTTTATCATTTGCTCATTAATTTTTATTGTTGGATTTTGTTATATTTTATTATTGATCATATTCAAACTAGGTACATTTTCTCCTTTTTTTTTTTTCAAGTAATTTACTTGATTAATAGGCTTCATTGATTTACTGCAATACTGCATTACTTAATTCATTATAGTTAATCAATTAATGTATTACTTTATTAAAATGTAACATTTTATTGCATAAGTAAATGTGATATTATACTGTGTGATGTGATAAATGTATGGTGCTATTTTTTTTTTTTTTGTTTTATATTAAAATTATCTTATTCGATTATTATTTCTTATTGAAAAAAGAAAAAGAAAATTTTTCAAACTTTTTTTTAATTTTTAAAATTGTTTTAATTGAATAATTATTTTTGCTATTCATTTCCATAAACATTTCCAATATTTTGATTAATGTTAGAAAGTTTAGCATTTGTATCAGATGTAAATGTTGTTTTTTGTAATTAATTAAATAATTAATGCTATCCTTCTTAATGCCTTTTTTTTTCTTTTTTAAATGTTTTACAAAAATATTTTTTGTGCGATAATTGCCATAAAAATTTTGCAAAAATAACATCAAATCTTTGCAATTATTTAATTTAATGAAATATTTAAATTTGAAATTTTCTTTGTTCTGTTGCAGAAAAAAAAGAAAAAGCGAATTAAAATCATTGAAATAACTGTTCGAAATTTTATGATAAACTTTTTTTGTTTCATAATATTGTCAAAAAAAAAAGAAAAAAAATAAGTCAAATGATGTCAACCATATTTACAATAACACGCAACAATCATTTCAGTGAAAAGAAATTTTTACATTCAAACAATTTTTTGTTTAAAATTTTATTCTAAAATTGAAATTAACTCCTTGTTATTAG